TACTGGGGAAGGCAGTTCAGTTGTGATTCGCTTTGAAAAGTTAATACTATTTCCATGATGTGAATAAACACGCCGTAGTACTTTAGTGAGAGAACATGGCTCTGCAATGAGAAGTTGGGGGTCTGAATAACCCCCCATCGCAACTAGTTTGCTTGGAGTGACTTTTCCAAGCCTCTGCCTCCCCGTCTGACTGATAATACCTGCCCTTCGGTGTCCGGATTGTTGTGAGGAGCAAACGGAAAGATAAGTAAGTACTCTGTTCTAAGGATGAGATATAAAAAATTGCTATCTGTTTGGTAAACTTGCAGGGTTCTTTTAAAGCAGAACCACAGCATAGCCTTGCTTTCTCTAGTTCTTTGGGGTGAATTGGCCCCTGCTGGAGCATCTGGACACTGGTAACACACAAGTCCCCCCACCCCCAGCCCCCCTGGGTGTGAATTGGATCTGAAGGGAAGAGGCAGAGGGAGATTCTTATCTGGGGAGGGCAGGGAACACTCTTTGTGCTTAAGGGCAGAGGCCACGTGGGATGAAACAGAGTTTGATTTGTGTAATCCAACCATGTCAGACACCACAGCTAGCTTTAAAAAAAAAAAAAAAAAGAAAAGACCTTTTACTAGTTGGGCCTCTCCCCAAGCCAGAGGCTGATACTATCACATCAAGTACATCTTTAGACCTGGCCAGACATCGGTGGTCCCTGGCCTCAGACAAGGAGGTTATCTTGTGAGGCTAACTTTTCTGTATTCGGTCCAGTGTGTATCTGTTGAGTACTGACTGTGTGTCCCTATAAGTTCCCTGCTACTCAGGATAAACGCCCATTCGGTCACAGTGCCTCGCACACAGTGGGGGTGACTGGAACGCTTGTCGTCTGACTGTCTGCGTCCCCTGACCACAGCAAGAAAGTGGGATTGTGTCAAAGAAAAACCTTAGGCCTGTGACGCCCACTTGTGCTCTCTTGACTGAAGAGATCTTCACCCACCACCTTTGAACTCCTTCCTTTGGGCATTCACCTCTGTTCTTTACCTCCACGCCGTGGTCCTACCCTCTAGATTCTGAATTTCAGGGCTTCTGGTGTAAGCTCAAATTCCCACGGCGTCCCAGGCCCTGTAGCCCAGCCCTGAGTCCTGACGGCACCCTGGCCGTGCGCGTGAGAACGCCCACTCTCTGCAGGTTCCCGTCCCTTGCGAGTGGAGTTGGAGAGGGCTGGGCCTTGCTCCAGGGCTCGCACTCATTGATCTGAGATTACGACGCGCTGGGTGCTGTGCCAGGTCCCCAGAGTCGGAGGCCACGCACACTCCTTCCTGGTTCCCTCTTTCTCCTCCCCTTCTCCACGCCCTCTTCTGGAAGGATCCATGTTCTCTGGTGTTCTGGTGTCTTTGTGTACCTCATCCTGTTGGGTGAGTGTTCATTTCCTTCCTTCTTACTGTTTCTCACTGGCCTCTCTTCAAGTCCTTTTTCTTTCCTTTCTAGTCAGGGCCTTTTGTTTAAATTTTTTGAAAAATATTTTTCGTTGCTCCTCAAAATCAGGGTATTCTTTGATTCTCTTGATGGGAGGCAGCTTGGTTTCCCTTCAGAAAAGGGCCTTGTGGGGGCTGCCCTGTGTGGGAGAAGGCAAAGTGGAGTGTGTCTGGCACCCGCTCCTGCCTAGAGGAAGGGCTGCCGGGGCTGTGGGCTGCTTCCCAGGCCCACTCTTGCTGGTCTCCCGGCTGCTGCAGCCGCCAACTTAACTCCGTACAAGGCCGCCTGTTCTGCAGGCCCACCCAGACCCTCCACCCGGCTAACCGGATTCAGTTGTTGGAGCTCTGAGTTGTAATCTTGAAGATAATTGTGGGTGACACACTCCGAATCACCAAACCTTAGGGTTGGAAAGCACCTCAGTGGTTTCCAAAGGCCTTCCTGTGGCCTGGCTGCCGTGGAAGCACCTGGGCAGGGTCTACCTCTGACTTGGCCAAGCCGTCACTCTGGTGGGAAGAGGTTGAAAGAGAGTGAAGAAAACACCAAATCAAGATGTGTTTTCTTCTAGGCTGTAGGATCATGAGTGATTTTATTTTCTCCTCTGTAATTTCTTGTATTTTCCAATTTTCTGCCATTAACATGTTTACTGTTATGACTAAAATATACAATAAATGTAACTTCTGATTTAAAAAAATATCACCCAGGAGCTTGTTCAATGTACAGATTCCTGGGCCCCCTCCCTAGAGGTTCTGACCCAGTTGGTCCAGGTGAGACCTGGGGACTGTGTATTTACACCAGCACCTCTGGATTCTGTGACACAGTCGGGTCTGGGAACCTGCATTTCATTTGCAGGGAGAGTGAGGATCCCGATAGGCTGGTGGGAGACCCCAGCCTACAGCCAGGTTCTCTTATCCCTGGCACAGAGCCTTCCCTGCCAATTCATGATCCCCGAGGTCTGTCCCCGGCAGCTGCACAGAACCCGCACCCTTCCAGAGGGTTCCCCCCACCCCTGTGCCTAGGCCTGCCTGTTTCCCAGTGAGACCTCAGCCTTCCCGTCTGACAGCACCGTTGGGCTCACAGTGGTTTCTGGGTCCCCAGCACCCCCAGTGATGGGAGTGAGGGTGCTGCCTTGCCTTATTCCCGGAGACCTTGAGGCTCAGAAAGTTACCCAGGCAGCAGGTAGCCTCTGTCAGGGGAATTTGGGGAGAAACTGAGGCATACAGAGATGGGGTTTGGCCAGCCCCAAATAATAGAATTGTGATCTCCCTTCCCTGGATGTTGTGCTGTTCTGAGGTGGTTTAGAGAAGGGGACAACAGAGTGCCGGAACGGGTGTGAAGAAAGGTATGTGTGGTGGCACTCAGAGTCATAGTGGGGAAAGACATTGCTCTGTGGTCAAAAGTAGTTTGGATTTAGTCCCATCCCTGGCACTTACCAGCTGTGTGGCCAAGTTACCTCTTTCCCTGATCTCATCTGTGAAATGGGCATGATGAGAGAATACCTCCCTCACAGGGGTTTTGGGAGGACCAAAGGAGTTTCAGGTACAGGGTCTATAAAGCAGTGCTTCTAATACTATACTATGTCTTTGAGTCACCTGGAGATCCTGTTAGAGCTTCACATTCCAATTCAGTAGATCTGCATTTCTAATAAGCTCTCCCAGATGATGCTGAAGCTGCTAGTTTGTGGACCACACTCTGAGAGGGAAAGATGTAAAACACTCAAAACAGCCCTGCGCGCTCAATGTTACTATTATCGTTATGATCATGGCTGTTATTGTTCCTTGGCCTTTTCTAACCCGCACCTGAGGAGACTGGGAATTCCAGCCGACTGGCCTCTCCAGGGACCAGTCGTTTTCCTGAAATCTCCTCCTGTTCCACCACATGACCTTTGCACCTGTCCTGAGCAGCAGCTGGGGAGGGGTAGGGGAGGGCGCTCTGCCCAGCTGCTGCAGGCCTGAGTCTGCAGGCCGAGTCCATTTTCACGCTGCTTTACTGTAACCAGATTTTGTTAAGCCGTGTGTGTTTCCTCTTTTTACTCATCTGTGTTTACAAAACACGAGGAAGCCCTCAGTCTCCCCAGCCCCTCCCAGCAGTAGCCATGTCTCCACCTGTCTGGGTTTTCCAGTCTCCCTTCCACGGGGAAGAGAAGAATACTATTGCCACAGGCGTGGGGCATTCCCTTCTGGGTTGGCAGGCTCTGAGGTCAGCCTGCATTGGCGCCTCACCTCTTACCTCTTTGGGGCCTAGGGCAGAGTGAAAGAGAAGCCGGCAACCTGCATGCTTGTCCGGGGCCAGGTACTTGCGAAGTTCTGGGTGCCAGGGGACCTGGACTCACTTTCCAGTTCTGCCTCTGACTTGCCCTGTCCTCATCCTGTCTGACTGGGGGTCTCCTGGTGGCGGCCAGGGCAGTTGTTAAAGACAGCCCAAGAGAGGGCTCCAGCCCCCCACCCTCGCCCACCCCACCCTGCCCAGACCCTTGACACAAACGTGCCTGCTGCCTGGACCTGTGCAGTAACCCTGTGCTGGTTTTCTGTCTGCACACTAGGATTTTATCTCCCTGTCCACTGAGAACCCTGTGGAGAGGGCCCCAGCCCCAGTCTTCCTGCCTTGGCAGACAAAGAGAGAACAAAGACCGCTTCTTCCAGCACCCCTCAGTCCCCTCCTGGCCTATTCTGGCCTGAGGGAAATGGTACCTGTGTGGGTGGGGCACCAGCCACAACCCTCTGAGCCGCTGACCCCTGACCTTTGCCCCCAGCTTCCCTGCCTGACAGTAGGACCTGGGATAACCTCCAGAGAGTAGTGTGCATTCTTTGTTTTTGTTTTGTTTTCAAGTATGTTCTTGCTTAACGTTTAATTGGCTCCAGTCAGTAGGAAAGAGCTCCAAGAGGGGTTATTTATGGCTTACTGTCAAGAGCAGCTATAAAAAGGGCAGTGCTGAGCCGAGATGCTGGGAAGGGAGAGAGGGCGGGCGCACAAGTGTGTGTGTGTGTATGTCTGTCTGTGTGCGTGTTTGCACTGGATGAAATCAGATTTTTGCTGCCTCAGCAGTGTGGTTTAAATTGAAGATTAACCCTTTGACCTTCACAGTGTCAAATCACTTGCAGATGGAGGCCCCCCCTCCTCCCCCTTGTTCTCTGTGTTACTATGGAGTGGGGGGAGGGAGGAGGGCACTTCTCTTTCTTTCTGAAGAAAGTTTGTTGTTCGTGCAGCTGAGGTTTGAGGGGCTCAGGAGCCAATCTGATTAAAAGCAGCACTTGGCTAAACTCTGGAAAATCCTGCAAGCAGGGGAAAAAGTTTAATCCTCTTGTGCACAGTGCATAAAGAGCTTGGGCTTGTCTTTTTAATGTTAAAGCTGCAATTGTCTTCAGAGAACTCAACTGTCTATCTCCCCCTCGTCGCCACTTCTCTCGCCCCCCACCAGGTTTGTTGCACTGATAGGGTTATCGTGCCGCTCCCCCCTCCAGGCCCGTGGGTCCGGACCTCCGGTGGAAATGATGAGGAGTCATCTAAGGCTGCATTCAGGGGTCACACTGATTCTTCTTTCCTTTCAGCACCAGCAGAACCGAAATCGCATGTGGTGGCAGATCCTCCTCTTCCTGCACAACCTGGCCCTGAACGGAGATGAGAACAGGAACGGGGCGGGCCCCAGGTGAGGCTGGGCTGCCTCTTCGAATGGGGCACCACTGAAGGACATTGGCGAGGACTGACCCTGTGTCTTGTGAAGTTGCTTTTTGTTGTTTTTATCTTTAAAAATTTATCTCTATGTGTACATAAGACATACCCAAGTGGGGCCTTTTTCCCTGTTCAGGGCCTTGACCAGGAATAGGGGCCTTTGTCAAACACTGTTGAAGCGGAGGCTGGTGGGGCTCTGACGGGGGTCCTCCCAAGGGCTCTGACGCGCAGACCCTTCAGTCAGAAGCTGTCGAAGATGGCGGGGCAGTGACACGCTCTGACGACTGGACCGTGGTTCACCCATAGGAACACAATTAAGCAACAGGAGGCCGGATTCCACTCCTGGTTCCACCAAACCTGTCAGCCTTCTACCGCGGATGGGGCCGAGATCCGAACAGTCGCACCACATGAACCCACCGTGGCCTCGGCCAGGGGCTTCCCAGCTGAGCACAGCGGCCTTCCTAGGCCAGTCCGCCTGTATCAGGGTTCTCACGTGGCCCAGCTGGTGCCTGCCCCACGGGCTCAGGGATTCTCGCCCAGCCCCTGTCACCTCCAGCAGACCTCAGGGAGGGCTGGGTTTCTCCAAGGACCCCTCAAACTGCCGCAGAATGAACCAAACTTCTCCACAGGCCTCAAATCTGACTTGGTCCCACTTGGAAGCCCCAGGATTGGTCCTGAGGTACAGAACCACTGCCACCTCTGGCTTTCTGGAACTGGCTGGGTGTCAGCCATGGATGAGCCAAATAGCCAATCAGCGTGCTGTCACCAGCAGCTTGTGCCTTTGTCAGCTCTTCTTTCCAAAGACCCGGCGACAGCCTGCGTCCCACCCCCAGTAGCAGCAGTCTAGGGTGGGAAGGGGCAGGCCTGCAGTGGGCCTGGGGAACGGGGCCATCCCACCTGCAGGAGTCAGTCCCAGAGGAACCCAGAGCCCTTGGTCTCCTTGGAAACCACATACCTCCTCCTCCTTATCCCCATTCCTTTTTCACATGCAGTATGACACAGGAAGAAGCCAGCACAGTGACTTTGTCAGCCGTAATGTGTCTTTTAGAGCAACAGATAATGGTGAGAGTGCAGACCCGTCAAAGCTGGGTACCACATTGCCTGTCTTCCTTCAGTTTCCAGCTAGGCCAGAAGGACCTGCTCTGGAACACAGCAGGATCACAGCTGCCTCTGAACTTCCCCTCTCTCCCTGCTGTGGTGCTAATGGAGAGAGTTTAGAGCAGCCAGCCTGACAGCTCTGACAGCAGCAGACACAGGGGATCTGAAAAACAGGACCTGCTAACCAGACACCTAGAAATTAGCTGATAATTTTTGCATATGTAAAAAGAGATATCATTGGTGCTAAACAGGGAAGCAGGCCCAAAGAAAGATGGTTTTCCTGGGCAGAGAAGACCCCGGGCTCCCCAAGGAAACAGGAGCAGTCCAGAGCAGACTCTCAAATCTGCACAAGTCCCAGCACCTCCCGTGCTGCGAAGAGGAGGTCTGCAGTGCTTTGGAAGGCAGAAGTGTTGATCTGGATGTCAGGCAGGCTCACTGCACAAGGGCACCTGCAGAGGAAGAAGATACTGCAGCAGAAGCTAAAACCCAGCCTGTGCTCTGCTCACCACGTTGTCTGCCCTTATATAGGGCTGTGTCTGCCCAGAAAAACCGGTACCTTTCCTGATTTGTACGAAGGTGCCATATGGGCTCACAGTGGCCCCAAGGAGAAGGACCTCAAACTGCGAAAGCCTTTGTTTTATTCTACTTAGATGTTCTGGAGGTATTACCTCTTCGTGGCCAGAACTGTATTCTCAGGGTGTATACCATGGTTTGTCTGCTAAGATGAGTTCTTGCTTACGAGAAGGAGCCCAGAGAACAGGCATGAGGACTGGCTCTGGATGCGCTGACCGCTGGGAAATTCAGCTTTCTCCACGCATCGCCAGGCCATTTGGGATGTGCAGAGGACGTGTGGTGTTTTCCCCTCTCCTGGACCCAGGCGGTGACAGGCAGGCCACTGGTATATGCTTGACTGGAACACACAAGAAAGCCAGGGTTGTTCCTACCAACCATTTTTAACCCCTCTTGGCAGACTTTCCACCCAAGCTGAGTGAGAGAGCAAATAAATGGCCCCTACTTTGGTGCTGAGGCAAAGCCACCCACTTCAGGGACCCCGCCAGGCCCAGGAGGGCCTGTGCCGAGAACTGAGCCCAGAGTTGGACAAGCCCATCTGAACACTGAGCCTGGGGCCGGGTGGAGCATGGTCTGACTGCACCGGCTCCATCTTCTGTGAAGCCAAGTACTAAACTACCCTAAGTAAGCCGGGACAAATCTAAAACCTCCCTCCTTTCACCTCCCCCAGAAAACCCAGGGGGTAACTCACAGAAGCAGAATAGCCCCAGGAGGGAGAGGTTCCTCCTGGCTGCTGTTTTTAATTGGCCTAGTGATCTAGACCGGGGCCCCTTCCCCCTCTGCCTGGTGAGTTGGTCTGAACATTCCTCAAGTCCAGCCTCAGGAGTCTTGTCCCTCCCCTTGGGCCCCCTCTTCCCCCCCACCCCCACCCCCAGAGGCTTGGCTGTCTCCAGTGAGGGGGTGGAGAATCAGATTTAGAGGGAGGGAGAGTCTGACCTGGGTCCTGACCTGTAACCAGCTGAAGACTTTGCTGCAGAGCTTTTGTGGTTTGCTGACAGTTGGGGGTGGGAGAGGGACTGGAAACCAACCTCCCTCCTGGTTGTAGAAATGCCCTGGAGGAAGGGAAGCCTGCTATTCAGGGTTAAAACAGCCCTTCCAACTCAGAACCCCAGAGCAGGGGTTTCTGGAAGCCTGTGGACAGAACTGGGGAGGGAACCCCCCAGGCCAGACGTTTTGTTCTTCCCCAGCCGGTTGGAGGACTGGGCCTGGCCTCCCACTTTGCCTGCTTCAAAGTCCGGGCTGCTGGAGAGCTGTCCCCTTGGCCTTCTCTTGCTCAATCTGAGGCAGAAAAAGATCACCTCCCAGTGACCTCCCGAACCCCCTAGGGGAGTAGGTCTGTTTCCAGAGCTTATGTGGCAGGCATGCTCAGAGTGTCTGAGAGGCCCAGCTGTCTTGTCTCACCGTCCCCATTGGCCAAGCCCTGTCCAAGGGTGGCTTCTGACTGGGCATGGCAGGGAGGATGTTGATTGCGATGGCCGTCTAGGGCCTCCATCTGCCTGAAGTCGTCTGGGAAGGAGGCTGGGGAGCCACTTGACCGTACTAGTCAGCAAGAAGTGCACTGCCCCACGAACGCTTGTCTTTGGGGGCAGACTTGATGCAGCGGGGTGGGGAGAAGAGAGCAGCAGAAGCAGAAAGACTTAAATTGCCGCTGCCCTCAGGGCTTCTGTGAATCAGTGCTGCAGCCTCAGCTGGAGGAAGTTTAGGACCTCTCTGTGTGTAGGCAGGGACCCTTGGTGGCAAGCCACCTAGGCCAGAATTGTCCCAGGAAAGGGTTAACTTACCAGCCTGTGAAGCCTCCTGGGGACATTGGGCAGGGGGCAGGCGGGCTTGTGACGACTCAGAGCCCCGAGGGAGTGACAGGGAACGCCCAGCACTTCCAGAGGTGCGCAGCTGAAGGTGCTCGGAGCCTGTGCAGGCTCCCAGGTTCACATGGCCCCTCCGCGCAGGTGGCCGGTGCCTCTCTCCCCACTCTGAGCACCGCCCAGAGGGGCCCCATCCCTGGGTCCACAGGGCTGCCAGGGGAGACCCAGTGAGAATGTAGCATGCTGTCCAGCTGGGATCAGTTTCCCTGGGTTCTAGGCACTCTGCCTGTGGGAAAGCAGCAGGGAAAGAGGGAGGGGAATAGGGACCCATTATTTTTTAACCTGTACAGAGTATTTGGCTTTTCGTTCTTCACATGCGTGTGTGTGTGTGTGTGTGTGTGTGTGTGTGTGTCTTTCCTTCATCAATTGGTACAGTTTTTAATAAAACCATTTAAAGCAAAGCTGCTCTGTTTCAAGGTGTGGTAACAATGCAAGGGGACCCATGAGGGAATGTGAGACTCCTATCTTGTGTCTCAGCTGCCATCCTGAGTTGCCCCTGGGGCTCCCAGCTTGTCAGGACTTCCCTTCCCCTGCTGGAGCGGAGAAGAGCCTTCTGACCTCACAGTAATCAGCACAGCAGAGGCCCCATGAGGTGGAAAGACACGGGTGTTGAATCCGGACCAGTTTCAGCCTCCAACAGCTGAATGATCTTAGGCAAGTTATGTAACCTCTGAGCTGTCAGTTCTTCCATATGTAAAACACAGTTGTACCAGCCTCCAGGGACTAGAGGGACCGCATGCAAAGGACCTGCCGATACCCCCACTGCCCTGTCCCTGTCAAGCGGAGGGGGCATTTTAGGAGGTAGGCTAGTTGTAGGGGAACTTCCTGGCTTGTATTTCTTTGTGGATTAACAATGTGTCTGACTCAAGAGGGTAATTTAAAGCTCTTGACAGAGTTCTCAAAATCCTTGGGGAAAACCACCCCTGGTCCTGTCAGCAGTAAGCTGAGAGCCAAAGGGCCAAGCCTCGCCGTGCCCATGCCTTGGGGAGCTGTTGGCTCTCTGAGGACCAGCTTTGGACTCCAGTGCCTCCCCTCATAGATGGTGGGGGCTTGAAGGGGCGCTGCCCCGTGTTGCCTAACCTCTTTGTTGTACGAGGGAGTAAACTGAGGCCCAGAAAAGGGATGCAGTTTTCTATTGGGCATTTTAAGTAGCTGAGTCAGTCTCGGGGGGTGGGGCTAGCCCGTCCTTCTGGGTTTCCACTTGGAAATTTGCAGTGCCGTTGCCCAGATCTGCAGGGAAGCCAAAACTTGTCTATTTTTAATGCCAAATAACTGCCTCTTCTCCTGTAAAACATGGCACTTCTAACCACTCTATATTTGGACAGAGAGGTTTATTTTTACTGGAGTGTGGTAGAAGTGCAGCCTGGTGCCACGTCCGGATGTTATTCTACATTTCACGTGCTGGATTGTAGTTGAGCCCATTAGCAGCTCCTATGAGGTACACAGGGAATTAGTAGGTGATTGGTGATGTACTGTCTTTCTTTCAAGTCAAGTCATCTGCTCCTACTTTGGGTAAGGAAGGCTGCATGCGCTCGGTGGCCCAGCCTGGACTAGAAACCTGAGAGCTCACCCCCAGCCTGCCCTGCCCCTCCCTTTCTCTCTCTCACCCCTCCCCAGGAAGTCCAGTGAGAAGTTAAAGGTACAGCTGCCCAGGTTTGAGCCCAGGCTCTGCTGCTCACCCGCTGAAGGGCATTGGGCAGGTTGCATGCTTTTCTGTGCCTCAGCTTCCTCATCTGTAAAATGAGATGACCGTAGTATGTATGTTAAGGGTGTTGTGAGCATTAAATGTGTGAATATATGTAAGGCACTTAGAACAGTGCTTGGCACATATTAAGGTGTCCATTTATGTTAACCGATATTACTTTCATTTAAAAATTATTTGTAGGCAGCTGATCAGTAAGGTCTGACCATTCTTACTAGGAACTGTCTCATAACTATCTTCTATCTCTGTTGTGTTGTCCTAGGCCTTTTTTTTTTTTCTTTTCGCCTAGACAACTGTAGAGCCTCCTAACTGGCCTCCTTGCCAGCCTTGCCCCTTCCGCAGTGAGCTCTCTGCAGCCAGGCAGACCCAATGCTGTCGCTCTCCGCTGGAAAACTCGCCCTCCTGAATCCAGTTCACATTCCTTAGCTTGCCTGTCCAGCTATCCCCTTGTGTTGGAATTCTGCACTCTTATTCTATGTAACAAAATGTCCCAAAATTTAGCAGCTTAAAGTCACAAACATTTATCTCGCAGTTTCTGTGGGTCAGGCATTCAAAGGAGTGGCAGCGTGTTGAGAGATGGGCATTAAGGTGGAGATTCCTGGAGCGCCCATTCATCTGCACGAGATCACTGTGCCAGCTCTGTTCAGGGGCATGTACAGGGGGAGAGAGATGTATATGGTGATGCAGTGCAGCAGGTGGTCCCCTGCCCTCCACTCAGTGGACATGCGGTGCCTGCAGTGAGTGTGACATGGGAACATGCATGACAGCGCTTCCCTGGCCTTGTGTCACACCCGCATCGTGTCATACTCAGAGATAAGTTTCTCTGGTCCAGGGTGGCCCTGAGCGCCAGCGGTTTTCTTTGCTGCTCAGCTGGGGCTACAGAGCTGTCTTCCAAGCTGGAGGAAAAGCTGGCTGTCTGGGATTTCCTCAGAAGTGATATGTCTGCTTGTTGTATTTCATGGGTGTCTGAAAGGATTTTTAAGGGCAATTTTCACGTCATGTGATTTTGCCTTACAGGAGGTCTTGGAACCAGTTCCTGTGGAAAATGAGACTCCATTGCACCACTAAACCCAGTCACTCTGCCCTTAATCCCCTGCTTCCCCTGTGAGAAGTGTCTGTCCTCCTGATGGGAAGGCTTGGAGTGGAATCAGAATTGGAACTGCCCTGAGGGGAGGGTAAGAGTCAATGATGTCCTTTCTGGCTGGTGCTTTTGCTGCCATTCAGGGTCCCCTGGCTTACTGCTACCTTGCAGGTGGATTTGACACTAGCATTTGAATTAACGCCAAGCTCTGCCCAGGAGCAGAGACGAGGTCCACCGAATGAGTCAGCAGCACTGGCTGAGCCAAGCCTCTTCCCGTGAGCAAGACACCACCTGTACCCATGCACAGAGTTTAAAGAAAGAGGCCACAGGATCCCTGCCCTCAGATTTGTGTCCCAAAAGAAACCCATGAGGGTTGAGGAGACGGGGTTTTTAGGCTGATTCTGTCACTAAGTGGCTGAAGGACTTCGGGCAAAGAAGTGACTTCACCTCTCTGGTCCTTGGTGTCCTCCCCTGCAAAGTGGGGTAGGGCCAGACTGCGTATCTATGAAGACCAAGTAGTACAAAAACTTAGAAACCAAAACCAGTTCTTTCCTCTTCCTGCTCCTGACTTGGCTCATACTACAAGGCATTACCTGTGACCCTAGACACTCCACCCTCTGGATGCAGCATGAAGGAGGGCAGTGCGCTCTCTGGACGCACCTGTGTTTATTATACTGAGTTCCAGACTCCAGAGACGCATGCTTTCCTTCAGCACCTCGCAGGCTGAAGCCGTGACAACGGTCTGGTTCTTTGGGAGAACACCCCATTACCACACAGACAGGTGTTTGTGGCCGCAGTTCTCTCTGCAGCCCTGCTGTCTTACCCAGCTTTTGGTGGGCGGTGAGCTTGGGTGCCATTCCTCAGGCATCTCAGGACTGGCACCAAAGGAACTGATGGGAAGCGATCAGACGCTGAAGGCTGAAGATGTGTGGCCTGGGGCCCTGGGAGACCAAGGAGCTGTCAAGGGCAAAAAGGTGGCCGCTCTGGGAGCTCTCATGAAAGGTTCTTGTTTTTCACCCAAGTGAGTCCTGGGTTCTGCCCAGTGACTCTGTCTTTGAAGTGGAGAGGGTTCAGTGCCTGGTGGCAACCTCATTTCTAACACATCATTTATTTTGCTGAGTGCCCTTGAGCACTGGGCACCAATTTCATAGGCACTGCACGCACGCACACACACACACATTCAGGTGGACTGGGTACTGTTTTAAACAGCAACTGCGGAAAACTCCATCAGCCCCACGTCGGGTACGTCAGTCAGGCCTGGGCTCCGTGAGGCTCCTGCCTAAGCAGGAGGCGGTGCTGCCACAGATCGATCGCCAGGCAGCAGTGACCCCTCCCGGGAAAGTGGAGAGAGCCTAGTGGCACTTCACAGACTGGGAAAACTGAGTCCACTGGTAAGGCAAGACTTCATTCCATCAGGACAACCTCTCACCACTGGCGGTCACCATTTACTTACCCAGTACACTCATCACCATTTAAAAAAGTTATTGATTGATTTTTGACAGAGTGAGAGAAACATTAACTTGTTGTTCCACTTATTTATGCATTCATTGATTCTTTTTTTTTTTTTTAGTTTAACAGACATTGATTCCTTTCATTGAACATCTCCTATACACAAAATAGATGGTTTAAGATTGTTGAGTGGGAAGGAATTTAGGTCTTAAGAGTTTTATGAATCTGCTACATGTTTTCTGGAAATCACTTAAGTCTTTTAATACCCTTGATGACTGCGGCCAGACGGGTGATTCTTACACGTGCCCTAACCTCGGTGTGTCGGGACATGTTCTAGCTAACAGGGCTGGCCGGCCAGGGCCTGGGGCCCTGTGCACACTTGTGTGTGTGTGGCTGTGTACGTGTCTCGGTAGAATCATGGCTCCTGGTGGCGGGAGCCAGTCTGTCTCATTCACGACTGTATCCCTACCGTCCAGCAAAGGACTCGTCGCTTGCACGTGCTCAGAAATCTTTGTGGAAGGGAGGAGTGATGAGTAACGATGGATGAATGGGGTGAGTGCTGATGTGACGTTTGGCATAGTGTTCCACCCACTGCCACGTTTATTTCTGAACTCCTGAGGCGTCCCTGGGACCCAGGATTTCATTGAACTTTCTTTTTTTCCTCCCTCTGCCAAAGTCTGAAAGTCAGATTCTGCAGACTTTTAGGAAACTTGACCTGCTCACTTCAAAAATATTCAATGCAGCAGTATCTGGGCCGAGGTGGGATTAGGGAAAGGCACATTGATTGGCACTGGAGCAGGTGGGCTCTGAGCGGCATAGGACGGTGGGCCAGGCTGAGGGCCACCTGCGTCGCCCAGTGTTGACCGTGAGCAGAGCCCAAGCTCGCCAAGCGCCGGTGGGTCCCCAGCACCTTGGTGAGTGATGCTGCCAGTGGGCTGCTGGTGCCTAGGGGTAGAGAGCCGCGTGGGCTGAGTCAGCAGCCTGCCAGCCTCCCTCTAGTAGCGCTCTGCCAACCACCATGCTGAGGAGGGCCGGTGAGGAGGAGCTTGTGGTCTAGCCTGCCCTGCTCTCTTCTCTGGTTCATCCTAGCCATCCAGCAGGAGAAGGGGGAGGAGCTGGGGGGAGCATTCGCCATGGAACACCTGCAGTGTTTAGATGTTACGACTCCAAGGAAGTTCTGATGGATTATCTATCAATCCTCAGCTCCTCCCCGACACTGCTCTTGCTCCCAGTTGCTTTAGCCTGCCTCATCTCAACATCAGCTACAGGAGTGCAAGTATTCCTTTGCAAGCGAAGGAAGCTCCATTTGTTTTTGTGGGTTTTTTTTTCTTTTTGAAGTTCTTTGCTCTAGCATGAGCCGCAGAGAAGCTCCCCACGGAAGCCTCTGAGCCTGACACAAAGAGTTAACCTCCCTCCAGTGGTGTCCTGTCAGACCCTTGAAACCTGTGTCAGCGCTCTTCCCTTCTCCCCCTGCGTTTAGCCTCGGGACTGCCAATCGCTCGCTCCGGCACACAAAGGCTTCTCTGTTCCTGGCCAGGCTGGAGTCACATGCTTTCACTCTTAACCCCAGAACTTGAAAACTAAACACCCACCCTCTTTGGCCCCAGATGACCCTGTTTACGTCTGCTGAGCCAATTCCAAACAGCAACAGTAGTGAAAACTTCTGTGGGGAGAGACTTCTGGACTATTGGCATAAGAGAACAAATCTTCACTTTGTATATAACGTGAGGACTTTAGAAGTTTTGGGAAACAACTTAAAGGGAAAAAACCCGAGGAAGCCAGTAGCCGGCCCCAACTTCTCTATTTTCTAAAGTGTCTCTTACCGGAGAACCCAGAGGCTCAGGGTAAAGCGCTCAAGAAACAGAAAGTGGTGAGCAGAGTTTTAACGGCTGAGAGGATTCTGATTTTCTTATGAAGATCCTACTTTGTTCATCCTGTAAGAAAAGGAATATTTCCTTTCCTCTTTAAATTCATTACTACATTTTTTTAACTGAAGGATATTCTCTTTGCTCCGCATCACTGAGGGTAGGAACAAAACATTCCCTTCCTCGGTTTAGGGGAGTGACCTGTGAAACCGTAGAGGCTTCTGGAGAGCAGGTCTGGACTGTTCCATTCCAAAGTCCTGGGTCAGAAAGACTTGTGTTTCTGTTTTTTCCCCTAAAGATTCCTTTTCTTGTGTTCGCCCATGTTAGCTGTGAAGGAAGTCAAGTTTCCTTTGATTGTTCTTACCCTGATCAAAGTGGCAGAAGTTGAAGGGAAAATACCAGAGCCCAGAAAACATGGGTGACATGGGGGCCCCAGGTTAGGTGTTTGTACACGGCACAAACAACAGAAATGGTCCAGTGCCTGCTGGCCTCGTGTCCCATCCCAGAGAAAGCAGTGGAGTCGAGTAAGCCAGTTCATGTCCCAGGGGGCAGCGGGACTCCTTAGGCAAAGAATAGCAAGTGTGTTTCATCTCTAGTGATGATCCTGAGAGACTGGCAGCCACCTTTGTTGGGGAAGGTCCTGAGGCTTTCTCTTGGACTCACAGAAAAGAAAGCCGTGACCAGTGAACAGTGGCGGCGGGGCAGGGGAGGAGGAAACGACAGCACGCATTTGTCCCCTGGCCTAGTACTATGTCAGAAAGTCAGATTGCCGTGTGTAGGTTAAGATAAATAGAAAACAGGCAGCTCCAGAGAGGAAATGGTAGACAGGATGAGAGAAGACATAGTAATTATGGCAGAGACAGTGGTGCTCACTAAACATTGTATTTAGTTCTTCATGTTAGGTGGGCCACGTGATGAGTTCTGAGCAATACAATACAAGCAGAAATGATATGTGTCACTTCCAGGCTGGTGCAGAAAATACCCACGTGCCATTCTTGACTCTCTCGTCCCTTGTTGCAGTGATTAGGGAGGCCTGTTGTTCCAGATAACGCAGCTACGACATGGTGTAACTTCCGTAACCCTGGGTCCCCAAGAACGGTGTGGAGCCAATCTGGGACGAACACAGATCCTATGAGAGAAAAAAACCTTTTTGTGTTCACTGGAATTTCAGAGTTACTTTCTACTACAGCATACCCTGGCCTATCCTGACTATGCATAGTGACCAAAGGGGAACAGTTTTTCCCTCCTTTTTCTTTTTTCACTTTCTGCTCATATTTGAAATCACTATTTCAAAAATACAAAATGACAGAACCATGAAAATCATTTCTGGTGTATGCAAGTTGTCACTCCAAAAAATGCCATTTGTAGTGGTAATAACAATCCTGCAAAATAGTGAACATGTATTTGAAAGTATAAGCAATGTATAAATATAGTGTATTTTAAACATCAGTACTAGTACTTACTCTATCATCACTACCATCACCGCCTGGGGCCAGAAAGGATGGTGAGAAGGATCACTTACGAAGGGAAGAAGAAAAGGCTTCAGATTTATGAAAACACTAATGTGAGGGTACTTGTGCTAGAGAAATCCAGATATAAAAGGTAAAAGAGACCTTGACAATTTAATCATGTGTCAAAGGGTTTCTTAGGGAACAAAATGCTGATTACTCCCTGATTGCAATTAACAACGTATTTCCATGCCAGGATCTATTCACCAACCTCTTCCAAAATGTTTGTTCAGATGGTTCAGCTTACACAAGTGTTAAACACAGGGCTTGACCAGTTTTCTTATTTTCTTCTCAACCTGTTCTTCCTTATTTGCCATCACAACTATTAGTATTTGCACTACCGTGCAGTTGCCCAGTCTGCTTTCTCTTCCCACTTCCCATTCCCATATTTCAGAGCCCAGTGCAGTGCTCACTGACTAAAACCATTTAAGATTTTGCTCATTGTTCTTAGGCTCTATAAATCTTTGCATCTTTGATTATTTTTTTAGGAAACATTCCTATACGTGCAATTTCTGGGTCAGAGATATAAGGAACACTAGGTGCTCCATTACATAACCCCCCCAAACCTTAATGGTTTAAGACAAAAAAAGAGTCTGTTTCTCATTCACACTGTTGTCTACTGAGGGTGTTTGTTTGGTGGGTGGCTTTTGATGTGGTGGTTCAAGGATCTGGGCTCTCTCTAGCCTGTCATTCAGTCAGCCTCACACGGACCTTCCAAAGCCACTACAGCTGGGGAAAGAGCAGGTGGAAAAGGCACACGTGCTGCTTTTTTATTTTTTAGCTTTTTTTTTTCATCCTTACCGGAGGACATGTTTCTTGATTTTAGAGAGAGAAGAAGGGACAGGCAGAGAAACATCAATTGGGTGCCTCCCATATGTGCTCCAGATCAGGGATTGAATTGCAACCCAGGTATGTGCCCTGACCAGGGATCAAACCTGCAAACTTTCGGTGTACAGGAGGATGCTCCAACCAACTGAGCCACCTGGCCAGGGCGGCACATCTGCTTCTTAGCCACATCAGCTTGGAAATGACACATACCATGTCCATTCATTGTCTGTTAGTGAGCACTGGTCACACAGTACCACATTTACTGCAAGAGAAACTGGGAAACGTAGTCCCTGGCTGGGCGGGCATTTCCCAGCCTCACCTGGCTGGGAAGGGCGTCCTTACTTGGCACACAACATCTCTGACCTCAAAGGGTATTCCGAGTCTGTTTGCAGAACTTCTGCAGGGAAAGCCCCAGGCAGTGCCTGGTCACAAGATGGGCTAAGATGGCTGAAATTTCAACACTCGCTCTAATTCCCTTCCTTCTTTTACCACTAGACTCAGTGAATCACTTTGATTCCAATCGTGTGATTTTCCTGCTCTGTGTACGTCTTTTTCTTCCACTTTTACCCAGCATCTTGGCAGTCTTGCTTAAGAGGGTAATTTCCACCCTTACTCCTCTTCCCTTTTGGGGGGAAGAAGGAATTTTTGCTGACTGCCCTCAAGTGCTCCTCTGCCCTTCTCCCATCCCAGACCCCTTCCCCCTTTCTCCAGACCCCAAACAGATACGCCTCTGCCAGCTGAATCTGCTCCACAGGGGTCTCTCTGGAAATCAGCCCACCTATTCTTTGGGGATTTAAATGTTCAGAGCCTGTTCTTGCTGCCTCTTGGTCTACTGCTCCCCTTGCCTCCTGGCCTGCTTACAAGTCCCACTTATTTAGTCCAGTCCCCAGGTCTGGGGAGATGTCCCCAGATCTGGCTGGCTTCAGTGCTATCTTGAAAGGTAGACTTGAAGCCCAGGGGCTTGTCCTTGGCCTGGCAGGCTCTTCTGCAGTGAGTGGCTATGACTGGCATGGGAAGGAGGGAAAGCAGGGACATCAACTGTGTTCACACACTTCCCTGAGCACTATGCTAGATTTGGGGGAATTGAGGGAGTTAGAGTGCTGAGCAACACTAATGGCTTGGGAGAACTAGAAAACTCCCAATTTGGATCGGGAATGACTGCCACACATTCTGGAAGCAGAGGCCCCTCCCTGCTTAGACCCCTGGGATCCAAGGTTCTTTCCAGTGAGTAGCCTCAGTGCCTCAACTTCCTCACAGGAGGCATCAGGTGGGGCACATCCCCATCTGTCACAGGCCACGAGGAAGTATGTCCAGGAGAAGCAAATTGTGAACAGTCCATCACCTTCTTCCAGAATGGGTGTTGCAAGTGCTCTAGTGAAGGCTGCTAATGTCCTCCTAGCCCCGGGAGTTCTCTTCCCATGCTTCGCCCTCCCCAGGCCTCTGAGAGTCTAACTCCACAGGGGGGCCTTGGCAAAGAGACCCTAAAGCCAGGCAGTTGGCTGACTTCCGACCTGCCTTGCGCTTCAGATGCCACCCCTTCTCCATACACACACACACCTGCTTGCAGGATAAGGCTCGAGAATGGACCTTTTTTGGCAGGGGAGGGAGGACGAAAGACACCAATTTCCTCGAGAAGTGAGGCAGGGGAGCAGCTGAGAGAAAGCTCCTCCATCTGGAAAGGAGGCCAGAAAGGAAGACAGAGTCTCTGAACTTTTCCCACCAAGCTGACAGGGAAACTGCAAAAACACCCTCAGACTGGATCAGGATGCGAAAGGAACAACCAGGAAGGCATGGCTGCTTTGAAGGTTTCCTGCTCTGCGTGAACTGGGCTTCTGGAGGGGAACCCCAGCGGGAGTGAGGAGCAAGCGGGGCTGCTCAAACTGACTCCACACTGGAAACGGGCTCAGCGGGCTCAGCGGGCTCAGCGGTGCTGCATGCTCCAGGTGGTCCCCAGAGCCTGAAGGGGGATGTAGGAAGGAGATGCTGATGAGCTGGGGGCGGGGGAGGGGGGGTACACGGACAGAAGAGGGTCAGGAGAGGAATGCAGAGGCCTGCAGAGAAGAAGGAGAGTTAAGAAAGGGCAAGGCCATCCAGGGAGCCTGGAGAGACTGTGCTATTAAGGACCAGCAACGAATGGCCCCCAGGGTCCAGGGCAGGAAGGTCAGCGTTGGCCTCAGGCAGAGGGACTGGTAGGGTGCAAGCAGAATTCCCTAGGTAGTTTGTGGGACCCAGGGCGAAATGAAAGTGTGGGCCTCTTGTTTAAAGATAATGAAGAAATTTTAACATGGCAACTGCAGACTATTAAACCAAGCGCAGGCCCTTCTCAGCACAGGCCCCCTGTGGCTGCCCCAGGGGGTGGGGGCGGGGGGGGGGTGTGGGTGGGGTCTCCAGAGTGAGAGTCCTGCAAGCTTCTGTGTAAACGGACGCCTAAAGGATGAGTCCTGGGCTGTAGATGTGAAGGCCAGGGGTGAAGACAAAATTCAAACTCCCTGAGTCTTTTGGTTTTAAAAAATATTGGGGAAAAATAAAGACTCTCCATTAACAACACGTTTTGAACAGGCCTTCACATCTCTAAAACCGTGTAACAAAGGTGACAATTTTATGAGCCAAGTTATGCATAGCACATTTTATGTTCCTAAACGACCTAAGTGTTTTTTGTGGGTCCTTAAAGGACACTAAAAAGTAAGTGTAGCCCTGACTGGTGTGGCTCAGTGGGTTGGGCGTCATCCTACAAACCAAAGGATTGCCGGTTTGATTCTCCATCAGGGCACATGCCCTGGTTGTGAGCCAGGTCCTTGGTTGGGGGCGTGCCAGAGGCAACTGATCAGTGTTTCTCACCCTCTCTTTCTCCCTCTCTTCTGCTCTAAAAAGAAGTAAAACCTTTAAAAAAAAATAAAAAGTAAGTGTAGAGGGGAAAAAAGAGTTGTCTGTATTTTTATTTCTCTATCAAAAGCCCATATTTCTTTTAGAAAAGTCATCCTTCCCATCATTCCTCTCTTTAGTCCAAAATGTCTGTACATTTCTCATCCCTTGTCTAGACCAGCTTTGTTTCTTGTCACTGTGTCCTCATTCAGTTTGGTGGGCCACATATTGTCCCTCCACCCCAAGTCCCACTCTCAGCTAGTCAGTCATCACACCTGTCAAACACCCTCTGAGAACAGAGCTCATGGAAAAGGAAAGGATGTGGTCCTAGAGCTTGAGGGAGGGAAACTGAGGGTTCCAGGAAGAACAGGAAGGGGTGGGAGACCTAACTGCCTTTCCTCCACTCTGGCTGGGGTGGTCCGTTTCAAATGTCTCTCTCGCCCCCTCGTTCAGCTTCCCTCTCTGGGTAATAGGGTGGGATGGGATTAAAATTGCTTCCTGGAGCCCTGGCTGGCGTAGCTCAGTGGATTGCGCACGGGCTGTGAACCAAAGTGTCGCAGGTTCAATTCCCAGCCAGGGTACATGCCTGGGTTGCAGGCCATAACCCCCAACAACCACACATTGATGTTTCTCTCTCTCTCTCTCTCTTTCTCCCTCCCTTCCCTCTCTAAAAATAAATAAATAAATAAAATCTAAAAAAAAATTGCTTTCTGGAATGGGATTCATTCCTACCTGTAGCTCCAAAGATGTGGGATGAGTAGGCTCTAGCAGGACCTGACCTCCCTGCTCTTCACCTTCGGGAGCAGGGACTATCCCTGTGGGCATGGGCCAGGTGTTTTCTCTCCTCAGTGGGGCTTCCTGGACCTCTCGGGGAAGAGGTGTACTGACCATCCCCTCAGCTTCGGAGGCTCTTCCCAGCAGAATGATTTATGCCGCTGATGTCAGGCCAAACCTGCAAAATCTTTGCTCAGCAAGACCGTGAGGCCGTGGATCTCCTCAGGATAGGACAAGGAGCCAACCTGAGGTAGAGACACGTGCCGTGATGAAGAGTTATATATACTTCATTGCTCAGGGGCGAGTGTCCATGCAGAGTCTGGGAACTAGAAGTGAAGTTTAAAAAGCAAAGAATTTCCTTTTCACCCAGCCAAGCCCAGCTTGTAAACTGCAACATGAACAGCTTAGCAGAGAAGTGCAGGGAACCAAAATTTTGCCACCTTGAAGGTGCCTTTTGGGATATTGATTTTAAGCTGTTTATTAAGAAACAAGACTCAGGCCCTGGCCGGGTAGCTCAGTTGGTTAGAGTGTTGTCCCGTCCCATACTCCAAGGTGGTGGGTTGATCCCTGGTCAGGGCACATATGAGAATCAACTAATGAATGCATAAATAAGTGGAACAACAAATTGATGTTTCTTTATCTCCCTCTAAAATCAATAAATAAAATTTTTTTAAAAAAGGAGCAGCAGCAAGACTCAGAAAGAATCTTTGGCCCTCCCCCCCTTTCCCTCCCAAGAGATTCAAGACAGAAAAACCTGCTTTAGGAAGGGAGCCTTGGCTTAATCACCTTCGGATCTTCACCCTAGCATTTGTCAGGAAGACGCCAAGCCTGTTAGCCAGATACCCACTGTGTCCCATTGTTTGAGTTGCCCAGTAAGAATTTTCCTGCAGGGCAGTTCGGATCTTCCTCAACTACCTGTAAATCGCCCATTCTCACTTCTGAAATCTTAATACCTCTCTACCGTTTTTCTCCTTTGTCAAAATATGTCCTATAAACCCAGTATTGCTTCACTGTCTTTGGAATTTTCATGCTCATTTGAATTCCCATGTACATGCATTAAAATTTCATTTTCTCCTGTTAATCTGTCTGTTATTTTGATGATTAGCCCAGTCAGAAGAATTTAGAAGGTGGGAGGGAGAGTATTGATTTTTTTTTTTTTTTAGCCCCCACAGAAGCTCAGGAGAGCCCTTCAGGTCGGCTCTCTGGCCTTCTGACCCCCTCCTTCTGCAGGGTGGGGTCGCCGAGGTGGAGCAGAGCCAAGTGGCCCCGCAGGGTTTTTAAGGCACAGGAAAATAAAGGCCTCGTGGGGCCCCAATCTGGAGACGAATTCAGGCCTATTTCACCTGCTCTTCCTGCTGACAGACACCAGCCAAGCTTAGCAAACTCCGCAGGTTCTCTCATTCCTTGCCACTGCCCCATCCCCCACCACGTTCCACCCCCAGTCCGTGGGGCCACGGAACAGCCTCCCAGGCAGCCTAGGACAGGAAGAGGCCGGATCAGGGGCAGTCCCCTGGGGAGGACCAAAGGTCAGGGCCGAGAGTCTGGGGGCTCACCATGCGGCCCTTCCCCACGGGCCGCGCGGGCAGCCGGCGGGAGCGCGGCCAGCGGGTGGCAGCGGGCGCCCGGGGCAGGCCAAATGCCCTCATGGCCAGGGTGACTGAATCTGCCAGCTGTGGGGCCCGCCCGTGCCAAGTCTGCCCTGGCTCCGTCTGGTCGTAATCGATGCTGGCGCCAGGCCAGACCCCCTGCCAGCTCCGGTCACACTCGGCTAACGCGAGAGGCCCAGCCCATTAACTCCTCGCCAAGGCCCATTGTCTGGGTCCCAGCCCGCAGGTTTATTTACTCCGGGGCTGGACGGCTGGGGCTGGGAGGCGGCGGGGCGGGCGGGGCAGGGGAGGCGGCGGGAGACTGGGTCGGCCACTGCTGGTGGGGAGGGGCCGAGGGCGGGTTGAGCCCTGGGCCGGGCGGCTGGTTGGCGGCGGGCAGAGCCCCAGGGCAGGGCACGCTGGGGAGGGATTTGTTTTGTTTTTCGTGGCTGGGTTTTTTCCACATCAAAGATTTCCCTGTATTAGGCAGAGCAGGGCGAATGGACTTCCAGAGGCCAACCCGGTACCTTAGAGGGGGGCAGGCGCTGTAGACACGGGATCCTTAACTCCCAGACAGTGGCTTTTAAGTTCTCTAAAAGATTATTTTTACATTACATGCCCTCTTGTATTTTTTAAGCTGGCATTAAAATTGTCATCACAAACTTAAATAGCAATAAAGAATACCCTTCCTAGCATTTTAAAAAATTTTATTGATTTGAGAGAGAGGTACATGAATTTGCTGTTTCATTTATTTATACACTCATTGGTTGATTATTGTATGTGCCCTGAGCTGGGATCAAACCCGCCACAACCTTGGATTTGGGGACGCTGCTCTAACCAACTGAGTACCTGGCCAGGGACTTTCTAACCTTTTATGAACATGAAGTCTTTTCACTTCTGTGTGGTTCTATTTGAGTTATGTGTTACAGTCATTCCAAAAATTCAAAGAAAAATGAATATTGACATTTTAAAGTAAACGTTTTAGTATCTCTTTTAAAGAGCCAAGGGAATCTAAATAGCATAGTATTTTGACATCATTATCCAGTTTAAAGAAATTCAGCAACAAACTAATTCTTTAACAGCTGGTAATTTACACTGGTGCTTTCCTTTCTGGAGCTTGTATTTCCATTCCGCCCCAATATAGATTTTATCATAATACATTTTTACGATTGAAAATCTTGTATTGAGTAATAACCAATACAATTTTTTAGTTAAAACTTCCTTTGTTCATAAAACTCTAAGTGCTAACAATTTTTGTTATGAATTTTTGTTATGACTTTAGTTGTTATAGTGGTTAACACTCTCAATTGATCAGAACAATATAAATAATTATAAAATTTGATGAACAGCTATTAAATATAAATTTTCTTGGGCATATATCTCTTAGTGAGGTGGTAGGGGCAGCTTTTCTTACTAATTAGTCCATTCCATGTATATGTGGGTGACTGTTACTTATTGCTAGACTAAAAATGTATCATCTATTTTATTGTCTTACATTATTTTTATAGATTTAAACATTCAGAAACATTGTTCAAGTTGATAGATATCTGGATAGATAGAAAAACAAATGGAAACCAATGAGTTTTGTTATGAAATGTCGTTCAGTTCTTTTAACTTCTTCTAAATTATACGCCTAATTTATCTAATTGTTTTAAATGATCCACTAGTGCTTTGATTACTGTCTCCTTCAATTTTATTGAAAGCAAAGAATCAGAAACTGCCCGACTCTCAAAAAGATTTGTTTCCCTATTCTAGAGTCACTCAGCATTCCCATACCTGCTCCACAAAGCATTGCCTGCAGTGGGGGTCAGAACAGACGGGAGGTGCCACTTTCTCTTGTAAAGCCCCCTATTCCGTTAAGTGTGAAAGAGGATGCCTTGTCCAAGGTGCCTTTTTAGAAAGATCACCTTTAAGAAAGAGCATAGAAAACTGAGGATCATAAAATGGATTTTTTTCAAATGCTCTTTTTAAAAAAATATTTATTTTTAGAGAGAGGGGAAGGGAGGGAGAGAAACATCAATGTGTGGTTGCCTCTCATGTGCCCCCTACTGGGGACATGGCCTGAAACCCAGGAATGTGCCCTGACTGGGAATCGAACCAGTGACCTTTTGGTTCACAGGTCCACTCTCATTCCACTGAGCCACACCAGCCAGGGCTTCTTTAAGCCCTCTCAATTTATAATCCTTTTTGAGTGCTCCTGGAGTACAAGATGCCAATTTTATGACTAAGACTGAAAATTTACTTGAGAGCCAGAACTTGAATTTTGACTCCTCTGCTAAGAGTGAGTTCAAAAATAGATATGATTTAAATATACAATTGCCTGAGGCATTCAACCAATCAACAAAATTTGAAAGGCAACACCCCCAGTATTTGTATATTTACAAGTATATACATGTAATACTACTTTCAACTCAGGGGTTATGTGGGTTAAACTTTATTTTAGATTTTAAAAACATAAATTAATTTTATTCCTTACGCCCTGTGGATTATATTGTGAACCTTCTTTTATAACCCAGTGCTCTAGAGTTTTCACTCAAAGTTTTTCTCAAAGCCCAAGGGAGTGGGAGGGGGAGGGTAGGAAATGGCACTGGAACCTCTAGTCTGACCTTCTCAAAACCCTGGAGCTCCCCGATCCCTGTCAATATTTACTAAGATTGTGTGCCAGGCACTGTACTGGGTTCTGAGAATACAAAGTGACAAGTCTCTTGTTGTACAACAGTGTGAAGATAAGTTAATACCACTGAACTGTACACTCGATAATGGTTAAGATGGAAAATTTTATGTTATGTGGGGTTTTTTTCCCCACACACAAAGAAAGACAGTCTCTGCTCTTAAAGTGATTATAGAATTTAGTGAGGGAAACAGAGAATTCGCTTATTTGTTTATCTGGCAAATTTTAATTAATGGGGTGCCAATCACGCCTAGGCCCTGTGCAGGTCCTGGGAGAAGCTGGTGAGCAAAGCCAGGCGCAGTCAGGGTCTCGGAGAGCTGTCAGTCCACGACCAGGTAGCAGTGTGCACCTGCACAGCCCAATGCGCAGCGACGAGCCCGCCCTGCGTGGCTGTTGAGCTAAAACTAAATAAATGTAAAACTCATACTCCAGGCTCACTAGCCACATTTCCAGTTCTCGGCGGTCACAGGTGGCTAGTGCTACTGTACTGGAGAGCGTTGATAGAGGACTTTTCTGTCATTGCAGTCAGCTCTTCAGCATGGGTGTGGTCCCTGCAATGAATGGAATGTGCCAGGTCCTCAAATAGGATCCCTGTCAACCTGTCCATTGCGTTGGTGGCAATTTACAACAGGTTTTCCCTCTGGGCAGGTGCAGTTCCATGCCAGGGATAAGGCTTGGAGAGCAGAGTGTGGTTCTGGGCCTAAGAGAAGTCAAAATCTCTCACACAGGATGTATAAGTCACCATGTCGTAGCCAGGTCCCTGGAAGTAAAAGACTTGGGAACTCTGAGTGCCGGTCTAATCAACGTGGCATGCGGCCTTGCTCATCTTCCCCATCTCTTCACCAACTAAATTCCCCTCAAGGCCCAAGTGAAACATCACTTCCCTTTGCCCCAAAGCCTTTACTGAGTCTTTTATGAGGCTAATTAACATTTGTTGAGCACATATTGTATTTGTGTTATGGGTGGGCAGGGGCAGTGGAGTGTGATGTTTCAGCCAGAAGATGAGAATGGAGTCTTTCAGTATGAATGGCTTTAAGTCCCCAAATCACGCGGCCAGCACCGTGGCTTCACCATTAACAGTGCACATTCACCAGGCAATGGAAAGCCCTAGAATCCTGCACATCCCTGCTCCTAACTTGTGTCTTCTGGAGAGCAGTAACTGTGCCTGAAATACCTTTGTCCACTCCTCCTGCCTCTTGTCACACATAAAAGACACCAGGAAAGGATTCATTGAAGGAGTCCACCCTTCATGCCTCAATGATCCAACCTGAGAAATGGTGAGGCTAACAATTACCACCAGCTGACAATGACTTCAAGGTCTCCAGAACTTGAAAGAAGCTGGAATATCAATAGCCGCTTACCCAGCATAGTTCTCTAAAGCACGGAGAAGTGAGTAGGTTTCACCCTTCCCGTGCATCAGAAGACCCACCCCGCTGCGAGAGTGTCCGGAAGGGTGGGTGTTGCTGTCTGGGCTCTGGAGTATTGGAGACTCGGCTCAGCAAAACACTTCCTGCCAGCCTCTGGCCAGCTGCCTCCTTGACCCTGCAGAACCTGCCCAGACTTGGACTGCGATTTCCTCTATGTCACAGATGCAGCTTCAGGCAGGGCAGCCTGAAGACTCGTCCCTGTGCTGAGGCCAGGGGCGCTGTGTGGCCCAGTGAGAAGAGGATCAGCTTCGGAGAAGGGCCTGGGCTCAAATCCTGGCTGCGACCCAGTCAGCCCAGGGCCCTGGGCAAACAACCCCTCTGAGTCCATTTCCATATTTGTCAAACGGGCGGTAACACCTGCTTCGCAGGTTGAGGGAACTAAATGACAATACAACTCTAGTGTATGGTTTAGAGGTTAAGATCCTGGCATAGTTGCTTACTGGCTGTGGGACTTGTAGGCACGTGACTTCGATATTCTGTCCTGTGACACCTTATCCCTAAGTGGGGGTATGGGAGGGGGGTCATTGTAGAAGCTAATTTAGAGGATCTTTGTGAGGATGGCTTAATGCCAGGCACATGGTGAACATGACATGAATGTTGGCATTCACTATTTCACCTTTCAACAAGTGAGGTAAACAAGGTTCTTATTACTATCCCTGCCCAGCTAGTCAGGCAGGATCACACGCTTGCTGTTGGTGAAGCTTGCATCCTAGACCAGAACTTTAAGTCTCCGGCCAAAACCTTGTTCTGGCTGGTTCCCTGGCCAGGCCCTGGGCTCACAGAGCTTCTGGGTAGTGCCCATCCCTGAGCCGTGGCTGCTGGTTTCCTTCCCTTCCAGAAGGCCTGGGGATTCTCTCCAAGTCAGTCTGTGGCTTTGTCACTTGTCCCTGCTAGAGCGTTTCCCACTGTCTGTGGGAAGATTCCTCTTCTTGTTCATGCCTGAGGTTCACTTTGATGCCTACACCCTTGGTTGCTTGGGATCAGAGTGGCAGGGGACAGTGTAAGGGACATTTTGGAGCCAGTGAGGAGGATGAGGGCATGCATTGGTCCAGAGGCAGCTCCCAGCTACCCCGACAGCAAAAGTGTGGTTAATAGATGCAGGCCCCAGGAAGAAGCCTTGGCTAAGTGGTGGGGAGGCGGAGGAGAAAGGAGGACACAG